TTTCACAGTAAAACTGAAAATTATTCCTTTATTATCTAAGAATAACCGCTTCAAGGCCATTTCTGGCAGTGAGGTGAGAAAAATGAGATAGACTTGAAAGCTTGATGAAAGGTTAAACTTGGTGAAAAAAGGAAGATGGAAACGAGCATCAGGTAAATTAGAAATGACGTGGATCAAAGTGAATTTTTTTTTAGAGAGTATTATAAAGTACTTGTTTAGTTTTTGATAAATAGGGACAGTCACTTATCTCTCTGTTTTTTCCGCCAAGTAGCACTAATATCGGCGATAAAAATTTCCAGATATTTTTGAAGGATAAGAGTACGGAACTTTCAGACAGTGTATGTATTTTAACAAATTTGTTCGTTATATGCTTTGTAGAAGGCACTACTGGACGGAATCTGGTTCTGGCAGTGTTGTTCTCACGTTAATTGAAATAAGAACTCCATTTTCTTGAGGCTGATGGGATGCTTGTTTCTGAATCGACTATTGAGAGACTAGAGATTAAGCACAAAAAACTAATTATTGGTAGTATTTGAGGGTCATGGAGCAACTGAGTTCAAATCTTTCGGTAATATGACGATTTGTTTTCCTTTAAGTGCTCGTTTCCGGTACTGTTCGCATATGATAGCACTAGAACTGGTAGGACTGGCTGACGTAAGGTGTCGTTTTGCGTCATTTTGAGCTTATTTCCAGGAAAGGATGAATTTTAAAAATTTATTCAGAAGAAGTATTCAGTATCTAAAGTATATTGTGGTGTTCTGGTGACTGTAAGCATTGTTAGGTATAAATGCAAAAAATATAGTCTTCAATTGCATGTTGTATTCAACTGTATATTATACATGAAGTATGTGCATATTATATTTACTAGAAATTGGTTGCATTTTTTTGTTCTGGTATCTTCTGCATGAAATAATATTGACAAAGCGTAAGATTAGTAAAATAATGTATCTAGTTTTGTGCAATTTGTAGATCAGGTGGCCAGTAGATGAGTTTTCATGTCAAGGAGGAAATCAATTAATGTCCACTATATCATCCAATGTTGATCTCACTACAAAGTATCAGAGGATCGCCGCGGAATATGCAAAGGTTATTTTTTACTTAATTCGGACTAGCGTTTCATGATTCATTTTTGATTTCAATGTGTTCAAAGTAATTGACACTTTCAGTCAATAGGTGCTATATTTCAGTTGAAAACACAGATACCAGTTTTAAAAAATGCTTTCTTTGATGAACAGGCAAAATCAAAACGACTCACGGTTTGTTCGTTTTCAGTTATTATTTTTCATTAAAAGTGGCAATTGAGGCAGTATAAAAAACACATTTATTCTATCTAAACTGCTTTGTCGATTTTCAGGAAGAAGTGCAGTCTAAAGTTGCATTCATGCGGAAACTGGAAAGTGAAATTGAAAGTCTGGAGTTTCGAAATGAACAGCTGTTGAAAAGAGTTGAATCATTGCAAGCCGAAGTAGAGGAGTTGCGTCGAGTGCCCTTGAAGGAGAAGGTTCTTCAGTTTTTGAGAAAATCTCGTTTTAGAAGCAAGCATATCTAGACTTCAAATTCAAAATTCAATTTCCAGCTTGAAGTGCTGCTGCGCGGAGCTGGTTAGGGGGATGTACCTTTGTTACCAAGTTTAATCAGCATCATAGTTTTCAGAAGAACAGCAGCCATCGTCATGCCATTGCGAAACCTGTTGTTGACGAAGATCGTGACATTTTAAAAAATGAGCTTGAAATTAAGATTCAAGAAAATGAACTCCTTCATTCAAAGGTGACTGCAGTTATCAGTTTAAACCTTTTCATAATCAGCGTCTAGTCTTCAACCTTTACTTTTTCTTTTCCAGATTGAAGAGCTGTCAGTTAATTTTGAGAAGGGAAAGCAGATTTTAGAAAAAAAGTGTGCTGACTTGGAAGCCCAGCTTCTTAGTTTGAAACCTGAGCAGAAGACTGATGTGTCAGACAACGACAAGTAAATTTTTAGTATTTTGCTTTTTTATTACTCGAAACTGGCATAAGTACGTACTAATTTACTGAGTTTTTCTTTTTTTAATCGCACAGTATCTTACCAGTTCCTTGCTATATTTCTTATTATAGCAAAAATGATTGTGATACTTCTGCAAGTGCAGCCACAAACAAACGAACAGATACGACTTTGCCCAATTCAACACAGGTTGGATGAATTTTAAAGTTTTTCACTTTACTGTGACTTCTCTAATTTAAGTTATCTTTTATTAATCTACTGAGATGCAAAGTATGGAATTTGATTGACTTTTTTATGAAAATATTTTTTCGTTCTTCTATTTAAGGCACAAAAGGTCGTAAGTGGTAGAGATGTGGAGGGCACTCTACACGCACTACTTAATGATGCCATTCAGAAAGCATATATTTTCTTTCAAGGCTTTGTTAATTTACTGAGGCTTTTTGAACAGCGCAGTACAGTCTATCCTCGAGATATGGTTTTAGAACAGCTGCCAAAAAATACGCTGCTGGTGAGTATTTATCTGATAATTGTCACAATGATAATCACGACTGAAATTGTTTGATTAAAATTATTTACTATTAGGTTTTCCTCTGTTTTAGTTCGGCCAGAATCTACTTAATACTAGCCAGCTTTTCGAGGTAGTATGCGGGTTTGCCGAAGGCTTGCTTTCAAAATCGTCCGAAGAAGATAGCTTTATTGATCTAGATATAGAAATTGCGAATTTTTCTTCGGCTTTTTCTCCGGCTGTTATTTCTTTCCATGTAACAATGTTTCTTTTGACTTGCATTATGGCATAAGTTTAATAAAGTTCTCGTAAAGGTTCTAATTCTTTGCGGTTTGCAGGTGTGGTATGAGCTATTTAAGGAAAATATTGAAAGTGAAAATCGAGTTTCTTGGTGTGGTCCTAATTTATGTTCATGCAATGAATTATGGTCTTCAAAATTCCTCAAATTTTTGGATTCTTTAACAGTGTTAAGTGAAAATATTGGTAAAGGTTTAGTTGCAGGAAACTGTATAAGAATTGTCAGCGAGGCATCTGAGTTACTTGCAGGTAACTTTTGTAAGTATATTTTGACGACAAATGAACCGTGCTTCTTCAATGAATTGATTTTGTTTCAGAATGCTCAGAGTTATATAACCAAAAAGTGTTTGATGAAAATCGTCTTCCCACCGCATCTAAGCGTCTAAAATGCTTGAACGATTGTATCGCAAAATGTTTCTCGTCAATTTCTCGTAGTTTGGAGAACTTTGTTATACTGATGAATTTAATCAATTCTACATCGTCTTTAAGGTCTAAATTCAACCCATTTGCTTTTATTATAGATAAACTTCCTTTTTGACTGCTTGTTCGCTTGTCTCTACTTTTCTGTTGTGTTTTTGTGTCATTACATGTGTTTTAGCCGTCTTTATTAGTTAATATCATGACTTTGCTAGGCAAAGCGCAGTAGCGGTGGAAACGAAGAATGAGGAAGTTGTGCATCCTGATGTATCAAAACCTGACTGTCCTTCATTGAATAGTGCTGTAACGGACGAGGCATTTAAATTTTTTATCTTTGAAACTTTAAGGATTTATTTTTATCTTCTAGATAAACGGACAAACTAGTGCCAAATTTTAAGTTTTTTCATTTTTATTCAGTTTGAACTCACGAAGCTTTGCGTCTTTAACTTTAATAATGCACCTCTATGGAATTTAGAATGCTTTATTTTAAGAGTATGTTTACATGACAAATTCAGTACTCGATAAGTTATGCTGTGTAGTTCATTATATTATTGAAATCAGGAGCTATCTTGAAACTATTTGATGTTTAAGGTTGGCGGGGAGAACGGTATTGTTAATAAGGAATCTACGAGTACTCAGTTAGGGTCTCAATGCCACTGCAGTGAACTGGAAGCAGAAGTAAGTTTTTTGGAACTGGTTTTAAATGCTTTTTATATTTCCTTGTTTGCATCTTTTCTGTTTTTGGTTCAGTTGTTTTTTTACAGCTTCGATCTACGAAGTGTCGTATAGTCAGTTTGGAAAAGGAACGGGATCGAATTTTGGTCGAAACGGAGTTGTTAAAAATGAAGCTAAATGGGTAATTATTTTTGTTTTACTGTAATTCCTTTTATAGGTTCTTTTAAAATAAACTATTGTGCAAAAAGTTTTGAATAAAAACTGAGCTGCAGAGGACAGGTTGAGCCGTTCAATGTTGCTTCCTCTGCAAACACCACTTCTGGAGAGCTTTATGTGGTTACTTCTTTTTATGACCGAAGGATTGAAGAACTCGCTAACGAAGTTCAGTATTTGGAAGGCCGTGCAGTATATTACGAAAATGAGGTATCTTTTGAATAGCTCAGTTTTTACTTTAATAATTTTGTCAAAACCATATTTTCTGAGAAGTGGAGAATATCGTTTTTAAAAGTTTTCCTGTCTTCTAGCACGTTTGTTTTTGTGCTTATATCATTCTTACCTGGTTTCGTTTTTGATTTTCTTTACTTTTTTTTGTAGTGTTTGGCGCTTATTCGGCTTGCCAATTTGAGAGAAGCAGAAAAAAAAGAATTGGCAAAACAGCTGATGGCCGCGAATAAGAAAGTTGCTCAGTCAAATGTACATCTAGTTTTTTACTTTTTATTAACATGGGAAATTCCCACAATCTATTATTAACATTTGTGATAGAGACCCCACGAAAGGATGTTACGCTCTGTATAGTAAGCGTCTGATCTATTAAAATATTGTTACCACGTTTAGGATGATATGGACACTATCCAAAAAGGTTACAAAGAACAGATGAAAAGTTTATATGAACATATGGGTGAGCTGAACACCAAAATTGAAAGCCAATCGGAAACTATCACATCGCTAAGAAATGGCGGAATTGGCGGGCTTAAACAGGTTTTTCACTCACTTTCTTCCACTTTTTCTTTGCTTTCAATAAAGTTGGTTTAGTTGCCTGTATTAGATAAGTAGCTGTTTACATTTTGCTGTTGTAGGAATTGGTATTTATTCTAGAAAAACTTTATCTAATGGGTATTTAGACTCTTCGCCCATGAGCTTGGAAAAAAATTTCAGAACCTTTAGGCTCTTTATCGAAGCTAGTTGCTTCTTTCTTTCAATTTTAGGTTGCGGTTATTTTGTACTGTTTTTTAGTTCGAAAGGTAAGAATTTTTGTTGCAAGGCTTCACTGTTCTTTTTTAAAACAGATTTCGTTTTAGGGGGCTAGGAAACTTCTATTTAAGTGAACAGTATTTTATTGCTGTTAAGACAGCACTTCAGTCAAAATCGCCGACGGTTGGTGAATTGTTTTTCATGAGGATTCGAATGTCGGTCTTGCAGAAGCTGTTGGAAATTTTGTCAATTATTTTCAAAAACGGTCCATAGGAAATTATCAAGAAGTTCTTGAGTTTCAGTTCAAGATGCTCCCTTTCTTCACTAGTTTTACAAGTATTTACTTGTTTGTGAATTATTATTTATTATAATTATAATTATTGTTATTATTATTACTATTATTATTATTATGTTATTTAACTAATTTTATATATGTTGCCAAAATTATCATTGCCATATATGTATATTTAGTGTAAAAATATTTAATTTTTATTCATAAAAAAGTTAGATTTGATCTAAATTTGTTTTTTATTTTTTTCTAAATGCGAGGAAACATTGTATGACTTATTCGATTGATGGCACCAGTGTTGGTTGTTTTCTGAAAATGAGAAAACTGGTACTTTCTGATATTGCCTCACTTTTTCGTTTCTGGAAGTACGCAGCGAAGTCTTCTTGCATCAGCGCAGTATTTGATGCGATTGTGTTTTTTCTTTTTAATGTAGTTGAGAGTTTCAGTTTTTCCTAATGGCTTAAAATTTTTGCGTCATATCATTGTTGCAGTTTTACGGTTCAGTTGTTGCTCTAGCAAAAATGTCTTTTTTTTTGGTTTGGAAACCTCCTCTTCTTCTTTTACTTTTTTGAATTTTTTTTTCGCAACATTAGCTAAGATTTAGTGATATTTTTATGGGTGCTTGGCGTTCGTAAGAAGTTGGAGTTGTTCCCTTCCTTTGTTGAGAGATCATTACCAGTGATGTATAAATGCAGTTGATCTGCAATATTTCTCAAATTGGTATGTTGTGTGGATCATACATGTCATTTTAAAATGTGATATTTTTCTTTTGGGTTTTTCTTTCCAATAGTTCGGAGCACATTTTTAAATTATAAGTTGTATTTTATTGATCTTAAAAACTGTTTTGTGTGACATCGTTTGAAAAAATCTTTTTTTTTTATGCTTTCAACAGGTCAAAACTGAGTTTTTTTGACTCAAAGGTTGTCGGAAGAAAATTTGTTTACAGCTGTTGAGGGTCATTCTGACCCAAAAAAATTATCAGTAATTGATTTTGAAGAATACATGAAACTTACTTTTACAGTTGCTATGTTTCGGAAGCAACGTCAACCTCTTCAATACTGTATGACTGTTTTTTAGTGTCCTCATTCCCATTAGGTTTTCTCCCTCTTAAACGCTCCCTGACTGGCATTTCACTGAAGCGATGAATTGCCGCCACTCTGAAAAAGTATCTGTTAAAGAAATTTTTCAAGTAGAAGGAAGAGGCTATTGGTTAACGTTGGAGAGTAGCTTTCGGGGCGCAGTTAGCACCATTTCAAAATTTCTTACCTCATCAAAGCTTTTGGTATTTCGTTCTCTACTCTTCCAAAATTCCCTTCAATTAAACGGTCAAGCAGTGCTTTCCCTTTTGTTTCTGGCTGGAAGAAGAGTCCGAAAAGAAGTGTCATAAGCAAGAAAACTTCAGGAATAATGAAGGCCCATATGGGATGGTTGTCAAGCAGCGGTTCAATACACATAATTGCCACTATGAATCCGGCATGCCTGGAAGGTTTTGCGTTATTGATAATGCAAGGTCAATTGAGAGGTAAGGTTTTGGGTACATCTGCCTCATGATCTTTTAAAAATTATACTTCATTATGGGTATGTAATAAAATTTGTGCTATTTGCATATTGTAACTTAGTCAGGTAAATTATTCTTTACTTAACAGCTAAGAAGATGAAAGGCTTAGGGCTTTGGCTGTGTTACGGCTCACTTTTCTATAATTTTTTATAACGACGTTTTATCAAAATGAATGTAATAGCTGCAATTGTAGGTTTTTCCGTTTTAGAATAGGAATTACAAAGTGGTAAATTTTAGTCAGTTCAGGTTTCTAAGAGAGTGCTTAATTTTTGTGGGTTATTTAGCTTTTATAAGAAAATACTTTATTGCGTAGGTGCATCCAAATGCTATACATCGTATTACGGTTGGGAACCGTTGTGTGGTAATTTGGACAATATTCATCCATACGGCACTTTCGTTAAACATTGTTGCAATAACAACAATAACCGTGATTGAGACGTGATCATAGTTTGTATGAAGGACAATAAGGATAATAACTGCTGCGTAGCATACACATATTAAGGCTGAAAAGATGTGGATAAAGAAGAAGTTAAAATTTTTTCGAAGAATTAAGCTTCGTCAAAGAAACGTTTTATTTTCTTATCGAATAATGGATAAACTGACTAAGTGACAAAATAAACTGTAATTTACGGCCAAAACGATAGAATTTGAAATCGAGAAATACGATGGCTAGCGGAATGATAAGCCGGCAGAGACCATCAAAAAACGTAAACAGTATGGCATTGTCTGAAAAAAATTCTTTTTTTTTAATCAAATTCCAGTTGATTTAGCAATCTTTACTGACGATTTAAAGCTGATCGTTCACAACAACAGCTTGTTCCGCGTAATTATTAAAAAACTCCACTAATTTAAAATTCTTTCGTAGCTTCATTTCGTTAAATGTGTTGTTTGTTAAAAACAACAACTATGTAAAATTTTTTTAACTCCATTCAGTTACAGTATTTGCCTAGTACAGGACAAGTTTTTCAATGAATTTTTGGAATAGTTTATACTGAAATCCATTCTTAATGGTATTTTTTGCAAAAGGTTAAGAACAAAAATAACTGTTTGCAGATCAGACCTCAAACTTGATCTAACAAATAAACATACCATGCATACCACGTGCCACGAATACATAGCTGGCAGATACCATTGCATACGTAAACATACTTAGTAACTGAAAGAAAAATGAAGAATATCTTCTGGAATTAAAAGCATTTTTAAAGTTTGGTTGCAAATTGAACGAAGTTTACTGGAAAATATGACAAAATAGGAGAACGGAATGACTTTCTTATAGCAGCGTTACCTGCATAAGGGACTGCTTTATCAAACGTTTTGTACAAAACAAATGATAGATATTGTAGCAGAATGGTCGACTTTTAGGACTATCGCTTGGAATCAAATTTAAATCATTGGCTGTAAATTTTAAACCAGTATTGTTCCAACGAGGATGTGCCATATCGTTAAGCACCTGTAAACTGTTACGCTGCTTGAACAGAAATTTGTTGTCGTGTTAACTAAGTCTTGGATTCAAACCTCACAAGCCTCTTCAAGGCGTCCAGATGCAACTAACCAACGTGGACTTTCCAGAAACAGCATGAACGCTATGGCAGTCGGTGACGTTACTAAATTTAGGAAAATGAAATAATGTTGCCAATCTTTCGTAAGATAAGCTATAAGCGCTATAACCAAGTAGGCAAGTGGCTTTTGGAATGAAGCATTTGCAATTAACCGATATCTAAAATAAAAAAGAAAATTTTTATGGAACAATTTTTTAATAGTAAAATGGCTTCTGAAAGATGTTGGGATATTTACGCAAAGTAACGACGTACAATTTTTTTCTTTAGATTGGGAAGTGTGATACGTATTTATTGCATTGTTCCTTATCCTTTTTTTCAAAATTTTGAATATATTTCAGAACATGGCTGATGTGTTAAAGACCGCCAAAATCACTATTACCAAATCTAGCCAGAAAAAAATTATCTTTTTTGAAAGTTATAGACTGCCAGTTTGTGGTACAGTAGTGGTTAATTGCAAAATTAATTTTAAGTGCAAAATTAACCCAAAATTAATTTTCATATCCACACATAGTTTTAATGGCTCGGAAATGGTAACAGACGACTAACTATTACTTGTTAACTCTAAAACGAGGTCAAAAAGAATGTTGGAAATAAATTATTCTAACAATTTCTTATTGTACACTTTTTGCAGTCAGACAACAGAAGCGTTCAAATTGCGACACAAAAAACTGATGAACGATTACGGTCTATTACCGTAAGTATTGGAATGCTACCTATCTGATTTGATTCTTCATTAGTATTCTATTTTTCAGCTTTATTATCATTGGTCTATAAACTTTTGACTCCACCCTAAAATTAGATCGAAATCTAGACATAAATTGGAAAATAAAAATATAAGAGAACTGACTGGCTACAGTCAACGAGCAATTATCAATTTCTATTCAATTTTAAGATACCATCAGTCGGCAGACCGCATACAAAACAGTCGGTAATTAAAAGTTTTTTTGTTGATATTTATTATTAAAGGTAACAAAAAATTTTGATGGACGAAAATAAAGTATTAGAAAAAAATTGAAGTATGACCTATTATTTGTATATTCCATCATCAGCGTTAAGGACATCACCTGTAACATTGTAAAAATGCAGTTGTGCATTTATATGGTGAAAATTCTGCAAAATCCATTACAAATAACCTCAATTATGCCATAAAAGAATCCGTTGAAGGCTTGACATATCGCAAATGTATACCACGTTTTTGCAGCTACAGTCATCACTGAAGTTACTTGGATACATAGTTGACTGGTGAAAAATCCTGTCATCCTTCCAAAGTGATCACCGATATGCCCGCCAACTAATGCGCCAACAAGCTGTAATATGGAATAATTCAGTATGTCAGTTTTCTTCAAACATATCTGATTACCAAATTCTTTTATCTTCTCAATTACTGCAAATGAAAATTTTTTTTTACCAGTTTAAACTGAAAGTTAACACTAATTTTGTAAAGATGAAGCATAAAATATTAGAGGATAGTTTACTTCAGCTTATTATTTTTTCTGATTTATAAATCCAAAAATATTCTAAAGTTGCGAACAATCAACTGTAGAAATAAGTGCATAATAAAAAAATTTGCATTTTCCTTAGCGCTATTTACGAACCTTATAAAAACAGATTTATATTCCAGTTTTATTTGTTCTATTTGTTTTTAAGTGCTTAAACTGTGTTCTGAATAAATGTTTAACAAGAATTTGTCCCGACAAATTTTTGCTACAAAACTAACAGACTTGAAAAATTAAAGACATTTTAAGCCTAAACCAATGCAGTTGTTACTTACATTTCCAATTGCCTGAATCAGCTGAATGGTTTTTAGCCTTTTCTTTTCATCGCATATCAGTTGATATGATGCAACCAATGAGTAGAAGCCGGTTGAATTTCTTATAGCTGTTAAATTTGCACATAAGGCTATTTGTTGGCAATTTTCTGCTTCATTCCCCTCTATTTTAATGTAACTGATTGAGCCATCATGATGGCCACACTGCCAGGTCGGTTGAACCGCTCCAAGGACAGAAGGGAACGTTGCATTACCTGAAAAAAGCGTTTTTCTTTTACTACAGCTTCTAAGTGTTTGCAGATTTTACGTCTTTTCTTTTTTGCTTTGATCTTATAACGGCTTCAAAGGGTGTTACTCGCAAATAATATAACTGTACCGTACCTGACCATTCGATTGTTGCGTATAATATACATATGCAAGCGAAAATCTGATACGGTCCAAATGGATTTACGCCTGCTAAGACCTAAAAGCTTCAACGTTACTACTTGTAACCGCATGACAGCGACTAGATTACTTGAAAAAGGGTTTAGAAAACAGGGCAATTCTGAGATTAGACCGCAGAAAAAAGTGTTATCTTGCTATTTAAACTTCTACTTTTAAGTCGAATAGCCGTCATTACCGCCCACAGACAGACAATTCCAACGAAGTAAAAGCAACTGAAGAATTTTAACACATTTTACCGCACAACTTCAGATTTTGACAAATTGTGGACAATGGTTTTTGCTGAATTTTAACTCAGCAAATTCTTCACCACAGAAACGTAACTGTGAAGCCATAAGAAGTGCTCCAATGAGTAGGTGATTCAGACAATAGGGAACTCAGTGCATCAACATTCCGTAATTCAAGCTGTGTTTTCTGCGGAAAATACAGCAGTTTGTTTTGACTTAGCAAGACTAAATGACCCTATACCAAGTTTTGACTTATCCAACCTGCTTTCTAAACTTATTTTTGGACAAATATCGTATTCCAGAAATCTAATCAATGTAACAAATATTTTTTAGTAAAATTTAAATAACAGAATTTTTTGTTGTGTTGCACAAAACAGTTATACAAAATTTTTATCAGTTATAACTTGTACAGTTTGCTAGAATTCTGAAGTTGGTTTCCGGTTGTGAACTTTCAGTGACCTCTAAACTTTAGGCTGTTCCGACGCACTTGGATAAGTTTTAGTACAGTTTTAGTTTTTTTTGCAAATTTTAAATTCGAAATAGTGTATTTATTTTAAAGTAGTCTTATACAGTAGCACTTTCTTTTGGTATAATTTATAACGAATGCAATAAATTTATAGTGAAGAAAAAAAACTTGAAAATATTAAAAGCGAAAACAGTTATAATGTTTATAAAAAAAAAAATTACAATTCTTATCACACCGCTTTATATCGCCAAAAAAATGAGGAAAAAAAATTTAGTGTTTTATGTCTGCTATACAAATGGATGAAAATAATAAATAGTTAAAGCTCAAAGTCATATCTTCGTAACTTGTAGCTAACATTAACTGTCTATCTTTCAGCTTAATAGACTACAGGTTAAGTTGTAGCTCACTGATACCTTTCTTACCACACTGTCAGTGTTATATACTAATCATCTAGGTAGGAAGTTTTAAGAACTTAATAAATATTTTTTTTTCTAGTTTAATTAGCTCAAAAACTGTTTGACAGTGTCAAGATAAGTTTCTTTTTCTTAAATAACTTATTTTGATAACAAATATTGGTAAGCGTTTATTGTAAGCTATAAGGAGTTATTCATATTTTATTGTATCGTAAGCTGAAAATGAAAATGTCAAGAAAAAAGAAGAAAGAAGAAGAAAGAAAGAAACTTCTCCATGTTACAAAAATATCAAAAAAAGAAAAATAATACTACTGCTTATTAATTAATTAAGAAAAAAGCGAATTTGGCAAAGCGAATATAGGAAACCATTTACCTCTTCAAAATGAATATAGGAAATTTGTTGTTTGCGGTTTTCTTGTTGGTTAGCTGTTGATGAATTTGAATTTCCGCTGTCACTGGAACTTTTTATGCTCGACTGGCCGTCGTCGAAAACAGACATCTGTTAACACTGATAAGTGAAATAGAACGATGGTACAGATGAGTGGTTTAGGGTTGTTAAATTATGATACTGTTTATTGATGTTTTATGCTGTATGTAATGCGTTAAGCATACAGTTTATGAAGTATATATGCAACACCGATAGGCAGTGACTGTGATAACCGATACAGTTATTAGTGGTGTAGTTTACGAGACAATAAAATATGATTGAATTTGAATTGTCAATACGCTTTAGTTGATAGATTAATAAATTTATAAAGTGAAAAAAATTGCTAAAAATTGAAAGTTAGGAAAAGAAAAAAAAGTTATCCTTATTAGAAACAAAAAATTTGTAAAATAGTAAAAGAAAATTTGAAAGAATTAATAAAATAAATTGATTAATTTTTTTTTTTTGGTTATTAATACAGAACAATAAAAAAAAGTTGTTTTAACATTGTTTTTCTTTTTTTTTTTTGAACTGTTGTAAAATTCTTCGACAATGATACAGTGCCGTGACGATAAGTTGCCGTTTGTACGATGGATACCGAGTGTTCAGTTTGGCGCATCTGTTGATTGAGAGATACATCAGAAGAAGTGTTATATTGCAGAAGGAGAAAAAAAAAAAGAAGAAGACAAGTAAAATGCTACTGTTTAATGTCCCAATGATTACCAAAACTATTAAATGGTGATATAAAAAAAAATTTATAGCTGTATTTTGATTACTGCTATTTTTGGACTTATTTTTTTTGGTTTTTTTTTT